CAGTTGTGGGTAGTTTCATAAGATGTTGTTTTATTTATTTCCAGGTTTCAAGTCGTTTCATCAGTCTTGAAATCCAATTTAAAATAAGACCCGATAATTTTCAGAATCCATATAATTGTATAAAGCTTATATCGTAATATACAAATATATGATAACTTCCAAATGAAAACCAGAAGAAATATAATATTTGCTGCCTTACAACCGCTTTCGTCACAGGCGAAACGTTACTAGCCTCTCGCTACTCTATCAATAATGTCATACCAATTTCTCAAAGCAGCTACATTACTTAGTTCAACAATTTCAGACCTCCGAGACGAGAACTTGACAAGCCACGTACACATGATCGATTCATCCTAGTTCCCTTTGTATTCCATTAGTAAGGAGGAAATTATTTTACAGAACAGATTCCTGAAAGCATGTGTCCTCAATCACTACAATATTGAATTCTTCAAATCTAAGCTCAATTGCTATCTATTCGACATATCTCCATACTATTGCGTTTATAATTCATTCCTTTACACGCTTGGGACAACATCGTTCAGTAAGACTCTGGCTTGAGTGGCTCTTGGACGATTGTATAAAATGTAAGACTAACTGTAATTCCATGGAAACATAGAAGCTACTCACACAAAATAAAATCTTACAACAGTACCACCCACTCAAAGCATACATTCAAACTAAAAGAAAACACGAAAGATAACATAGAGAATAAAAAAAATAGTGATGGTTATCTTTTCAGAATAGGATAAACAAAAGAACTCATTTTCAATTACAGATATGAAAACAAATTTCTTATACGCTATCTACAACTACATCAACACCACAATATGTAAATAAAACACCATAACTTAATTCTGATAAACTTTATTCCAAATATCGAAACAGAGAAAGAAAAAATGATACGATAACGATATCCAAATAAAAATGGCGCGTAAGTAATATATATATATATATATATATATATATATATATATATATATGTGTGTGTGTGTGTGTGTGTGTGTATGTGTGTTTGTGTGTATGTACGTGTGTGTAATAAAATAAATAAACAAATAGTATATATGTGTGTGTGTGTGTATAAAATTTTAAAAATCTTTAATGAAAATAAATTTATATACAACCAGGCTCTCAAAAATAGTGTTTTTTTAGATTTTTCTGGTATCTGTTTTTTAAATTTAATTTAGGTCAGCGAATCGGTAGCGAATTATGCATTGAAAAATAATTTATATTTATCTGTATGTCACTCATTTAAACCGTTATTTAACTCCTCTCTTTAAAACTTCTCTCTGTCAAATTTTAATCCCCACCTTCACCTTTAGGCCTTCTTATTCTTCTTTCTTCTGTTACACCCTCTCTCTAGAGCTTTCATACATTTCCCTCTTACACTTGTTTCCCACTCCCACACATACACTCTTACTAAAATTTTGTTTTTTATACCCGGAGTTATATTTTCCGATTACATTTTTTTTTCTTTTTTTGAATTTGTAGGTCTGATGAATTGGGTCGTGATTACGATTCAAATGGAATAAATATATATACATACATACATACACATACATATATATATTTGTATAAAAATAATTCCAAGAGGATAGAATCCATGTAGAACTCAATGTCAAGGACAGAGTAAGGATATAATAAAAAGGCTTAAACACTAATATTCCATGGTCATGATTTATTCCAATGGAATCGTAAATACGATCCAATTCATCAGACCTACAAATTCAAAAAAGAAAACAGAAAAAACAATTCCGGGAAGAAAAAAATAAATTTAGTGAGAGTGTATGTATGAGAGTGTGGCACGAATGTTAGAGTAAATGAAAGCTATAGGGAGGGGTAACAGACGAGAGAAGAACGGGAAAGTCTAAAGGTGAAGGGGGGATTAAAATTTAACAGTTTTAAAGAGGGGAGTCAAAGACGGTTTAAGTGAGAGAAATATGAATATTCTTGGATGTCTAATACATTCAAGATATACCGGAAAAGATACATTTTGTGGTGACATACACACACAATAGACGATATAATCTTAAAGATCAGAAGAAGAGGGAGGGAGAGGAAAAGAAAATGGGTGGAGGTGAGAGATGAGATGCGGGGAACTAAACCCGAAGGGCATTTATAAAAGGGCCGCTGTGTAATTAAGAAAATTTGACAAAAGTAATATCAACTACAGGTTACAAATCAAATATAAAGTAATCAAGACAATTTCTGTTCTTCTCTCGTCTGTTACCCCTCCCTATAGCTTTCATTTACTCTAACATTCGCCCCACACTCTCATACATACATTCTCACTAAATTTTGTTTAAAAAGTTGTTTTTTCTGTTATGAATTTATTTTTTATTAACAACATTTACCGGCCTGAATATCCAAGAAATTTCATAGAAAATATGTGTCCTCCGACAGAAATCGAAACTGTATTTAAAAGTAGTAATTCGACCATGCTAACCATACGCTTCCTCTGTAGCTAAATAGTATAGCACATCAGGCTATATGACATTTCCGTCTAGGATGCAGGTTCAATTCGGAGGACACATATTTCCTATGTAATTTCTCCGACATAACAGGCCGGTATATGTTGTTAATATTTTTTTTAATATAAACAGAGCATTTACTTAAATATCTGTATCTATAAAAGTAACGTATAAACAGAATATATATATATATATATATATATATATATAAGCAAGTGTAAATGGATATAAATCCGACAGAATGAAGAAAAATTTTGAAAAAACAAACAAAAATCCTTAAATGTAGTTAAAATGAAAGAAATGTCCATCGTCTTTGTTAAATTGAACTGAATTGTATTTTAATGAATATTGTCTTGAAAAAGGTTTATTAAACCGAAACGTCAGACGTCGACATTTCTTTCATTTTAACTACATTTAAGGATTTTTGTTTGTTTTTTTCAAAATTTTTCTTCATATATATATATATATATATATTGTTGAAGCTTAAATAAGCATGGAATAATACAACACAAAATGTACGTTAACAAAATGTATTGAAACAAAGAATAGGTACACAATATTTACAGTTAGTTTGGTATATTCTTGGGAAGACTGTTCCTGCATAATGGGTTGACTAAATCGCAGTCGGGCAGAGTCTCTGGATTCAATTTCTTAATCTCTACTATCTTCCCCGTCTTCCGGTACCAACCCATATTTATATGGTCGGTAGTCCGCTTATGTAAATTAGGTGTATCATACACAACATATATATATATATATATATATATAGCTAGCTTCTAACATTATTAAAGTAGATGATCCATATTTGAAATAGACATCCCATTTTTATTTTATTCATTAAAAGCATATATGATGTCTATTGGCCTATGTGTTCGTATGTGTTCGCTCGGAGATACCAGCTGCTGTGAGCTTGGGTGTGCGGCCGGTGTACAGGAAAATGTCTCGGAATTGTTAATAGGAGAGCCGACTTTCTATTCTCTTTGGGTTCATGATATTCACTTACGCGCAAATAGCCTTGGGAATGGCATGAATCTACATTTTCTGTCCCTCCCCCCCAGCTATAGGTTAATTAGTAAGACTTGTATCACTAAACCATTATTATCTCCTTCGCCCAAATTCTTTCACTCTAAAAATATGTTCTGGCTTTAAATAACCTGAAATGGTTGATAATCCGTAAGAAATGAATCAACCAATCAGCATGCGATTGGGTGACATTCTAGCCTTTTTTCCACAATGGATGATTTCAGGTCTTTCACTTTCTAATTTTCTGCTATTTTTTCCATGTATCATTCCCAGATGTCAGATTACAACTGACGCAACTATTATCTTCAGTTTCAAAAAAAAATTCACAGCCTTCTATCTTGGGGCACCTCGACGTGGCGTAATGGTTAGAAAGTTTGTCTTGCTAGATCAATTACTAGTGAGTTCGATCCTCACTGGATGCCCCTATACTTTCGGCCTTGTGCCACATCTAAGCCGGGCTTAGAAAATCACTATCTAGACCGGTTGATCGTGGATTTGAAAAGGCCTAGATTGTAGTTGCCCGGTAAATATCTTTTCGGGAGTTTCAACAAATTCCACGGCCTCTTATCAATATCAAGATACTTCTTCTCACTTTCAGTTAAACTCTGTTGCCCACCGTAACAGCAAAATCCACTAACAGGAAGATTCTTTTGTTTCTTTCTACCGGATCCGGTTCTCAAGCTTGGATTGGTTGATCTGTTTGGATCTCAGTCACTTAAAATTGAACGCATTTCACCATCTTGGACAGGTTACAAATCAAATATAAAGTAATCAAGAAAATTTCTGTTCTTCTCTCGTCTGTTACCCCTCCCTATAGCTTTCATTTACTCTAACATTCGTCCCACATTCTCATACATACACTCTCAGGGAGAGTGTATGTATGAGAGTGTGGGACGAATGTGCTCATAACATTATTGTTTGTGGTTTAAATCAACAGACCCAAATCACGGTGCCGCGGACTGTTACCTGGCCATAGTCTATTCGCTACCGAACCGCATAGAAAGAACAAATTATAATTCTAATTTATTGACTATCGTTGTCTTATTTATTGTGTTTTGTTATGCGCATGCCCGACACGAACTGTCGTCCATTGAAAAAAAATGGCATCGGTCTGTGTGGCACAAAGTTTTTGGACCGCTAGTTTAAATACAGTTGTTTCTACAGTTCCCAACGTTACATCTTTTCTCCTAAGACACGATATTTCGTTTATTTTTTCTAGACTAATTTGCTAGATTGACAGATTATTGGGTCACTATTTTATATTTATTTCCCCACAGTCTATATTTGATATTTCCTGTGCTTCATCTATCAAATACTTTATACAGTTACTTCTTGTAAAATTTTATCGACTTTTTCTCTAAGTAGGAATAACCATGTCGATTTATCCACCACTCTTTCCATTTTTTCTTGCGTGTCTTATGGATTTTATTTTATTCTCTATTCGTAAATTTTATTATGAAATTCTAAGAAATAAAAACCTTCAGAAAGGCGGTCAGAAGCTTTCCCTGGATGACGAAACCTTCTGGCTTTTCTGCAGTTTTCTTTTCAGCATCAGGGATACAGCTGGTTTTAATCTTCTATCTTTATAAATTCGGCTGGCTAGCAGAAAAAATAAAGTTGGCAGCAGCGAATAAAGGAAAAGATGAATTTAATTCTTGCGTGATTAAATACAAAACACGATCATCACCACGAAAGGAGGAGGAGGAGCCAACAGTAAATATAAAAAATAAGACCAATTTCCTTTTTGAAGTCCACGTAGCAGGAAAAGGAAGTACTTATCTATCTATCTATCTATCTATCTATCTATCTCAGCCTGTTCATATCTATATACCTGTCTATCTATCCCAATTTATTCATATCTATCTATCTATCTATCTATCTATCTATATATATATATATATATATATATATATATATATATATATATATATATATATATTTCTTTCTTTCTTTCTTTCTTTCTTTCTTTCATCTTCCTCTCTTCTCAAACACTTAAGAAAGCTGACATTACCACTTTAAGACCGAAAACGTTTTTAGATTAATGTTTAATCATTTTTACTATGTTCTAAAACTAAATAATATTTTTAACTTTATTTTATTTTATTCAATAATAATAAACGTAAGAAAATTAATTTTTTATATTTCATACAATTATTTTTCTCGGGTTGGTTTGGTTTGGCTTGGTGCATTTTTTATTATGTTTTACGGTATATCAACCTCAGTGGGTTATTTAGTACCGACAAAATTTTTAGGATAGATTCGTATGAGGAGAATATATATTCATTTTTTTTTTTTGCTGGTATTTTTTAATGTATCGTTGGTATTTTTACTATAAATATCTATTTTTAGACTTTCACAGTGTTTTGACCCCAGTTTGGGACTTAACTACTTGCCCATACCTGAAACCCTAACAGGTGCTACCACCCCAAAAGAAATCCTCAACTATCCTAACGTCCCCTGGTACCGCGATATCAGTGCTACAAAATTGTCTGTCTTCCTTCCGGGCAGTAATGATGTTTGGCCTTCTTACTTCAATTACATTAGTATATTGCACAAGATAAGAAGAGCAGCTGTTAAATAATAGTCTAGCAGACTATTATTTCCTAGAGAATTGTATTTTCGTCTGAACTCCTCATTTTGACCTTTGTGGTGAAATACAGGAAAACAAGAGAAGTCTTTTTGTATTGGTTAAAACAAGCGTGGAAATTTTACAGAGATAGAAAGTGATTTCAATGAGGGTTGCAACACAACGTGACAAAGTTCGGAGAAGATTTTCAACTGAAATAAAAAGGGGATATGAAACAAGTAGTCTAGACATATTGAACAGTTGATAAGTACGATGACATTACGTTGTTCTACTGCCATACACATGCACACATCTTCGACAAACCAAAATAAGGATTAATGTTGAAAAAAATGAGAAAAAAAGATTGACGCCATTTTTTTTCTTTTTTTTTTTTGATGGACAGACAATGGAAAAAAAGACGAATAGAGTAGAAAAAAGAAAGGACACAGTTGAACAATAGACATTTTTTATGTTTGTTTTGTGTGCCAAAGATTTTTTGTTGCTTTTTTTTCTGGCAGGCTTTAAATGTTGTGTCTAAGGTCGTAGGGGTATATACATCACAGCTTTAGACTCTCATTTGCAGGTATTTTATGCCCAGGCCACTTTTATTCTCTTCCCCGTTTTTATGTACCATATGGTATGCATTGTACAGTACATAATTTATTGTTGGGACTTCTTTTGTATTGTTGTTGCGTCAGACATTATAATTATTATAAAAAGATTATTTTTTACCTTTGTTTTATAATCACTTGATAGGTCATAAGTCATGACGTAAGGCAAATTGTACGATTATATTTTGTTTCTACTTAATTTAACAAAAAAGAAACAGATATTAAGTAATAAAAATAAAAAGTAAAGTCTTAAATGTACAAAGCTCTTCGCAGGCTGTGCTGGTTCGAACTAGTACTCCAATTTCCTGGCGATATTGTGTAGCTTTGCTCTTGAGTTCCTTTCTTTATCAAACTCAAAGCTCCAACCACAACAAAAACAGTTTTACCTTTTAAGTGCAACATTTGACCTATATCTCCAGGTTTTTGTATTTGCTGAGATGTTTAAAAGGATGTTTTTGTCACTTCGTATATTCTTGCCAATAGTGAGCAAACGTTTTTTGTCTGTTTTTGATAATGATGTCTATGCGATTTGCTTCTATTGCTTGACCTGTGTTGATTACCAGACGATGGTAATATCTGCTACTTTACCTACCATCCTATTATTATTATTATTATTATTATTATTATTATTGTTATTATTAATGTGATTGAGGTTCTTCCCGACATCTAAGTTTCGGTCGGGTGATTATGATTATATCTCAGTTACTATCCGCAGATTAGAGACCCAGTACTCTGCTGCATCATGCTACGCTGCCGCCTTGCGCATTCGCAATGACGTCAGAAATCCGCAAAGTGTCTTGCGAGGCAGAAAGATTCTTTGGAATAGTACCAAATAGGTCAAAATGGACAACATGATTTACTGCTGGAAACATTTATCCGATTTGGCCGTCCAGATTTTGATACCTGTTTTTGGTGCGTATTTTTACCTGTTCCGCCTTATTCTGATTTCAATGTACCTCGACGTTTATTAGAATCCATTCATGACTTCTCTTGTGCACAAGTGTACTATCAGGGCGATTGCTCTCCAAGCGCATATCAATCAATCAATTATTATTATTATGCTGATTAGTATTATTATTATTTGATCTCTGTTGTATACATATTTTCTTCCGGGTCCCAACCAGAGACCTAAGGTTAGAAATGGTTTCATTACATTTTCTACTTATCATTTATATATACACACACACACACACACACACACACACACACACACACACACACACACACACACACATATATATATAAATATATATATAAATATATATATATATATATATATATATATATATATATATATATATATATATATATAAAGAAAGAGGTTATAGTGGTTCCAACGAGAGAAAAGTGTGTATATTAAAAAGAAAAGAAGAGAGGTGCCGCAAATGTTTTGGGTTGTAATGTGGATTTTTTTTTTTTAAATATGCTTTATTTTCCATTATTTTACTACACGAGTTTCTGGTCTCGCGACCGTCTTCAGGTAAAAGGCGGAGATTTCCACATATTATTAAAAATAATTCTTTTTTTCCTTATGTTTTTCAATGTTAAATATTCTCGATATGAGACATTCTCTGTTTTTGTGTTAAAACGAAGATCACACACATTTTACATATATAAAGCTCTTTGTAATGTGTGATCTCTACTTGTCAGTACATTTTTTTTATTTCTTTAAGGTATGGCCTACCAGGAGTGCTTTCAATAAGTTTATCAGAACCTTTTCTAATCAATCCAACTGGAATTATTGATCTCCTCATATGCCACATTTTTTAGATTTACATTTTTTTGTATTTTGATGGTTTATTATTATTATTATTTAGATGTGCATTTAGAGTATTCCTTTCTACAACATTTACAAGTGTTCTTTCATCTAGTAGTTGTTTTCTGAAATATTGCATTAAAATAGCGGTGAAATTCTTTCATCCAGTTTCTCTTAAGGCCTCGCTTTTTTTTTAAATTTTCGAAAAGGATTTTATTTTCCTGCTAAATTCCTTTGTTGAATGTTATTTTCAGGGCCTTCTTTTTTATGCTTTATTCACCTTTCGCAAAGATTTTAAACACTTTTTCACTGTTGACAGCTATGATTACAATGTGTCATTGTCGAAGGACTTGGCAACGTCAACCTTAAAAATAATACGAGTTTGCTACAAAATGTAACTGAACAAGAATTAGAAAAATGGAAAGTAAAAAAAACAAACTTAAAAACGAACGAAAATAAAACATTAATTCAGAAGCTTCTTCGCGATTCGTAAGCACAATGTCACAGAAGATTCTAATGTCAGCCAACATGTAGCGTTCATTCATTCTTGTGGAAGGTGTTTGACCAGCTCAGGTTTCATTTTCAGAAAAAGCCAGTGACCCGTATTAATTTTATTAAGATTGATTCATAGTGAAATGTAAGGATGTCCTTTTGATTTCGACTTTTTTTCTTTTCATGAATTTCTTCCATATGTTTCAATGGTTCAGATTTCTTTTAAATGTCGTTTGTTACCTTTCGATACTTTTTCGTGTGTGGCTTTAGAAGGTGTCTTAGAGAAAGGGCGCAGAATTGAGAAAGAAGACGGTGACAAAATAAATCAATTGGGAAAGTGGTAGGAAAGAGAGATTTAGGTGACCGTTCGTATACGAATATTCCTATCTGCCAGGTTGACAACAAAATCGCTGTTATAGACGCCTGCTCAGGAATATCTGTGTTTGTTCAACATCTACAGAACCAAAGTGTGTTTTATATTGCAACTGCGTTGAGCAGACATTAATTACAGTTTCTACGAGAGAGGGCACGTCAATAGATTGAACATGTCCAATGCGCTCAATTGTCGACTGCTTCCAAGAAGTTTTGTCCACCCAATTTCATTCTACGCTTGTCAAAATCCGTGTTATGTATTCCTGGCACTTCTAAAATGTCAGATGCTAGGATCATCACCCAAGGCTTAAAATATAAAAAAAAAGTAACCATAACAAGTCAATCATAGAGGGATTCGAATTCGGGTTTCATAGTCGGAATGCTAACGTTCTAACTAAAGGGTGTTTCATTAAGACGGATCAAAGTTAGCAGTAAATAAATCAGTGTTATTTGTAAAAAAAATATTTATTTCTCTATTGGATCATGTTATTTAAGTCATGGCAATTACGTGTGAAAAATAATATCGCCCAAATATCCGCCAAGGCTTCGGCGGTACACCTCCATACGATGGTCAAAATTTTTGATGACGTCTCTGCATAGTTGCTCCTCGATCTCACCAATATGCCTTATTATCTTATCCTTCAGCTGTTGAATTATTGTTGGCTTGTTGGCATAGACCTTACTTTTGAGATGACCCCAAAAGAAGAAATCTAAAGGCGTCAAGTCGCACGATCGTGGTGGACGATTGAGTTCGCTGTTTCGAGAGATGATGCGACCTGAGAACATCTCATTCAATAAAGCCATTGTTGCATTAGCTGTGTAATAGGCTTCCATAACTTTAACACGTTGTTTGATTGTTAATCCTTCCATGGTTGTAACTGCCAAAGACTTAAGTTGTTAAATCTGAAAGAAAAAGAAAGAAAATCATTAACGCTTAAACTTAATTCACATTTAAAATCGGTCCAAGTTATTGGAACACCCTTTACTTGGCTAAGCAAAGAATAGTTAAAAGAAAAAAAGAAAGGGCCATGAAAAGAAGGAAAAAAAGAAAGGAAGGAAAAAAACCTGAAAAGATAAGTAAAAAGATGGAGAAAAAGCGACAAGGAAAGAAGAGCAAAAAGAAAGAAAAGAAAGAAAATGATAAAAGAAAGAAAGTAAAAAGAAAGAAACGAAAAAGAAGAGTAAAATGAAAGAAAAAAGATAAAAAGAAAGAAAGTAAAAAGAAAGAAAAGAAAAAGAAAAAAAAGAAAGAAAAAAAGAAAAAAAATGAAAAAGAAAGAAAGGAAAAAGAAGAGAAAATAAAAAAAGAAAGGAAAGGATAAAAAGAAAGAAAGTAAAAGAAAAAAAAAGAAGAAAAAGAAAAAAAGAAGAAAATGATAAAAGAAAAAAAGTAAAGAAAGAAAATGATAAAAAGAAAAGAAAGAAAGGAAAAAGAAAGAAAGAAAAAAGAAAGAAAAAAAGAAACGAAAAAGAAAGAAAGGATAAAATGAAAGAAAAAAAAGAAAGCAAAAAAAAGGATAAAGTAAAAAGAAAGAAACGAAAAGAAGAGAAAATGAAAAAAAGAAGAAATGATAAAAGAAAAAAAGAAAAAGAAAGAAAAAAAAAAGAAAAAAAAAGAAAAAACGAAAAAAATGAAAAAAGAAAGAAAAAAGAAAGAAACGAAAAAGAAGAGTAAAAAGAAAGAAAAGAAAAAAAAAAAAAAGAAAAAAAAAAAAGAAAAAAAAAGAAAAAAAGAAAGAAAATAAAGATAAAAAAAGAAAAAAAAAAGAAAAAACCGAAAAGAAGTAAAATGAAAAAAGAAAAGAAAAGAAAAAAAAGAAAAAAAAAAGAAAGAAACGAAAAGAAAAGAAAATGAAAGAAAAGAAAGGAAAGGATAAAAAAAAGAAAAAAAAGAAAGAAAAGAAAAGAAAAGCAAAAAGAAAGAAAAGAAAGAAAATGATAAAAGAAAGAAAGTAAAAAGAAAAGAAACGAAAAAGAAGAAAGAAAAAAGGAAAGGAAAAGAAAGAAAGTAAAAGAAAAAAAAAAAAAGAAGAGAAAATGAAAGAAAAGAAAGGAAAAAAAAGAAAAAAGTAAAAGAAAGAAAAAGAAGAGCAAAAAGAAAAAAAGAAAGAAAATGAAAAAAGAAAGAAAAAAAGAAAAAAACGAAAAAAAAAAAAAGAAAAAGAAAAAAGTAAAAGAAAAAGAAAAGAAAGAAAAGAAAAAGAAAAAAAAAGAAAAAAAGAAAGAAAATGTAAAAAAAAGAAAAAAAAAAAACGAAAAGAAGAGCAAAAAAAGAAAAGAAAGAAAAACGAAAAAAGAAAGAAAATGATAAAAAGAAAAGAAAAAAAAAAGAAAAAAAAAAAAAAAAGGATAAAAGAAAGAAAGTAAAATGAAAAAACGAAAAGAAAGGAAAAGAAAGAAAAGGATAAAAAAAAAAAGAAAGTAAAAAAAAGAAGAGAAAAAAAAAGAAAAAAGAAAAGAAAAAAAAATGAAAAAAGAGAAAAAAGAAAAGAAAAGAAAGATAAAAAGAAAAGAAAAAGAAACGAAAAGAAGAGAAAAGAAAAAAAAGAAAAAAAATGATAAAAGAAAAGAAAAGAAAAAGAAAACAAAAAGAAAAGAAAAAGAAAGAAAATGAAGAATAAAAAAGAAACGAAAAGAAGAGAAAATGAAAAAAAAGGAAAGGAAAAAAGAAAAAAAGAAAAAACGAAAAGAAAGCAAGAAGAAAGAAAAGAAAAAAACGAAAGAAAGTAAAAAGAAAGAAACGAAAAAGAAGAGTAAAATGAAAGAAAAGAAAGGAAAGGATAAAAGAAAGAAAGTAAAAAGAAAGAAACGAAAAAGAAGAGCAAAAAGAAAGAAAAGAAAGAAAATGATAAAAGAAAGAAAGTAAAAAGAAAGAAACGAAAAAGAAGAGTAAAATGAAAGAAAAGAAAGAAAAGAAAAAGAAAATGAAGTAAAAAGAAAGAAAGAAGAGCAAAAAAAAGAAAAGAAAAATGATAAAAGAAAGAAAAAAAAGAAAGAAAACGAAAAGAAAGGTAAAATGAAAGAAAAGAAAGGATAAAAGAAAGAAAGTAAAAAAGAAAGAAACGAAAAGAAGAAAAAGAAAAAAGGAAAAAGAAAGAAAAAAAAAGAAACGAAAAGAAAAAGAAAAAAAAAAAAAATGATAAAAGAAAGAAAGTAAAAAGAAAGAAACGAAAAAGAAGAGTAAAATGAAAGAAAAGAAAGGAAAGGATAAAAGAAAGAAAGTAAAAAGAAAAAACGAAAAGAAAAAAAAAAAGAAAGAAAAAAGAAAGAAAAAAGAAAGAAAATGATAAAGAAAAGAAAGAAGAAGAAAGAAAGAAAATGAAAAAAGAAAGAAAAGAAAAAACGAAAAGAAGAGTAAAATGAAAGAAAAGAAAGGAAAGGATAAAAGAAAGAAAGTAAAAAGAAAGAAACGAAAAAGAAGAGCAAAAAGAAAGAAAAGAAAGAAAATGATAAAAGAAAGAAAGTAAAAAGAAAGAAACGAAAAAGAAGAAAATGAAAAAAGAAAAGAAAAAGGATAAACGAAAGAAAGTAAAAAAGAAAAAGAAACGAAAAAGAAGAGCAAAAGAAAAAGAAAAAAAAGAAAGAAAAGAAAGGAAAGAAAAAAACGAAAAAAAAATGAAAGAAAAGAAAAGATAAAAAAAAAAGAAAAAAAGAAAGAAACGAAAAAGAAGAGCAAAAAGAAAGAAAAGAAAGAAAATGATAAAAGAAAGAAAGTAAAAAGAAAGAAACGAAAAAGAAGAGTAAAATGAAAGAAAAGAAAGGAAAGGATAAAAGAAAGAAAGTAAAAAGAAAGAAACGAAAAAGAAGAGCAAAAAGAAAGAAAAGAAAGAAAATGATAAAAGAAAGAAAGTAAAAAGAAAGAAACGAAAAAGAAGAGCAAAAAGAAAGAAAAGAAAGAAAAAAAAAAATGATAAAAGAAAGAAAGTAAAAAGAAAGAAAAAGTAAAAAAGAGTTTGCAAAGAAACAAAAGAAAGGAAAGGATAAAAAGAAAGAAAAATGAAAAAGAAAAAAAGAAAGAAAAGGAAAGGATAAAAAAAGAAAGTAAAAAAAAGAAACGAAAAAGAAAAAGAAAGAAAGAAAAAAATGATAAAAGAAAGAATGTAAAAAGAAAAGAAACGAAAAAAAAGAAAATGAAAAAAAGAAAGAAAAGGATAAAGAAAGAAAAAAAAGAAAAGAAAAAAAAAGAAGAGCAAGAAAAAAAGAAAGAAAATGAAAAAAAGAAAAGTAAAAAGAAAGAAACGAAAAAGAAGAGTAAAAAGAAAGAAAAGAAAGGAAAAGGATAAAAGAAAGAAAGTAAAAAGAAAGAAACGAAAAAGAAGAGCAAAATGAAAGAAAAGAAAGAAAATGATAAAAGAAAGAAAGTAAAAAGAAAGAAAAAGAAAAAAGAAAAAACGAAAAAGATAAAAGAAAGAAAGCAAAAAGAAACGAAAAGAAAGAAAAATGAAAAAAAGAAAGGATAAAAAAAGAAAAAAAAGAAAAAAAAAAAAGAGTAAAATGAAAGAAAAGAAAAGAAAATGATAAAATAAAAGAAAGAAAGAAAAAAAGAAAGAAAAATGAAAAAGAAAAGAAAGAAATAAAAAATGAAAAGAAAGAAAAAAAGAAAGGAAAAGGATAAAAAAGAAAGAAAGGATAAAAAAAGAAAGAAAAAAGAAAGAAAACGAAAAGAAGAAAAATGAAATACAAAAAAAAGGATAAAAAGAAAGAAAGAAAAAGAAAAAAAGAAAGCAATACAAAAACTTTTTTTACGTACACAATAAAATGCAAATACAAAATCAAAATCAGAAAATAAAGTTAATTTCATGTTTAGAAAAACAATCATATACAAGACCAATTGTTACTGCTGTTATGGCTTCCGTTGGAAGCCTGTTTCTCATCCGATCACCGAAGTTAAGCTACGTTGAACCTGGTCAGTTCTCCGATGGGTGATCGAAAAGGAACGCCACGTGCTGTACGCTAACTAAAAACCTCGATATGTGGAGGTGCTTCTAGACTGACAGGTCACAAGATGTATCTGAATTTGAGTGAATCGTGCGTGTTCTATTCGGACGAGTCGCCTAACCCTCATTGACACATTTTGCCTACTGAACTCTCCGGTTTGCTAACATCTGTTAATTTAAGGGAATTTCAAACCCAACTATTTACACTTATGTCCGGAGAAAAAGGGTCAAGAGGTTTATTTTACTTATGAACCTTCTTTTCTCTTTTCTTATCATTTTTTTTTTTTTTTGACTGGAAGTGTATCTTCCGACACCCCAGCAAGGATTAAGTCACCAATTAATAATAACCTTTTTATCAGACACCTAAGTATTTGGTACGTTAATCATTTTCATTTGATCGCTTATATAAGCGATCAAATTAAAATGATTAACATTTTATAACGAATGCTAAAAAATATAGATTAGGAAATAAATGCGAAAAATCAACGTGTAGCATATTTTAACACGCTACCAAAAGTATGGAATACCCAGTGGGGATCCTCACAAAGTTAAAAACGAACTGCCAGATGGGTTTACTCCCAATTACACAACAATTGTCTCTGAAATTAAGGCTGTGATTACAGCGGCTAATATATATATATATATATATATATATATATATATATATATATATATATATATATATATGTTTCACTTTTATTAAAGCTTCGTAACTTTCCCTTAATAAATTTGAAACATGTTAGATTGATATACATTTCCTACTTGTTCTTTTATCTTATCATATGCCACACACACACACACACATACACACACACACACACACACACACACACACACACACACACACACACACACACACACATATATATATATATATATATATATATATTATATATAAGAATAATACAAATAAAATTTCTCACTTCAGCTGCTTTCTCACTTCAGCTGATTTGATTATTTAAAAATAAAATGCCGGCCAAGCATAGAAATGAATACAGTATGGGACCAGAAATTAGGAGTGCTAGAGAGAAACAATAATAAAAACAAAATTGCAATATGAGCTCTGGTAAAAAAACTGAAAGCTGTAACATTAAGTTCATAACAAATAAAAGACCGAGAACATCACTGGAAAATACGAAAACGTAAGGAATCAGCACATATGCTAGGCCACAAAAATCTCTTAAGCCGACCAAGCATAGAAATGAATACAATATGGGAACCAGTAATACGGAATGAGGGAGAAAAGCAAAAACAACAAAACTGTAATATGATCTCAGGTAAAAATGTCTACTGAGACATTAAGTCCCAAAAATTCATATTTTGATCTCGTCGAGGAGACATAGCCCTGTGAATAAAAGCATTGGTTGGATCCTGTGACTTGACCGAACGAGTTGTGAGTTCAATACCTGGCTACTGCAGTAGTGAACAAAAAATTGGAGAGTTGAGTTAAAGGGCGATAAGACACCCGGAAAAGGTATGGCAAGTGGAACTAGAACAATATACTCCAGTGGACGAAATAAAGGGTTCAGTTCAAAATTCCAATCACCCGAAGAAGTCTTTATTGCCATATTCACGTGAATATGTCAATAAAGATGAGAACACCAGTCCGAAGAATGTAAATGATTAAAATATCTGTCAGAAATATAGACAGATAGCTAATTGATGTGATGTTACATTCAACATCTCGAAATTGACGAAATTTTGTAATTTTCAGTCCCCTCTTCTAGAGTTTTATACTAATTCCAAGGAGGTCATTAATCCAAAGTGAACTGAATGGAATTGACAGTGCAATATAATAATAATAAGTCAATAAAATCCTTGAAATCTATCTCGATTATAATTTATTTCATGACTATTTTTAAATATTCATCTCTTCAGACCAAAGGCTTTTAGGGTTTTTTTTCTCAAAAAAAGATGAATATTAAAATATATTCATGATTTTTTAAATTTTTTAATTAATATTATATATATATATATATATATATATATATATATATATATATATATATATATATATATATAAAAAATGGACAAGGTCCGACAATTTATTTATTAAAGACATTTTTATGTTTAACGTTGTTTTTATATACGATACAAGTATTTAAGCAAATGCTCTGTTTATGATAAACAGTATTAAATAACATTTACCAGCCTGAATGTCCGAGATTTTCATAGAAAATATTCGTTCTTTGACGAAATTCGAACCTGTATACGGAACTATCATTTACGCTGAGACGGTACCTTAACCGTCTCGTAAATGACCTTTGTATCGGATTTAGGTTCGTTATGTCAATGAACGAATATTCATGGAAAATTGAAGTTTATAAGGCCGGTAAATTCGTTATTTAAAGGTTCTTTATCATAAACAGAGCATTTGGTTAAATACTTATCTATCTATAAAAACAACGTTAAACATAAAAATATCTTTAATAAATATATATATATATATATATATATATATATATATATATATATACCTGAAAAAACAAACAAAAATCCTTATATGCAATTATGCTGTTAATATGTCAACGTCGGACATTTCGGTCTAATAAACCATCTTCAGGACATATTCATAAAATATAATTAACATTATCAATTCAACATGACAAAGACGATGGACATAAGAACAAGACTTATCCAAACAGCATAATTGCATATAAGGATTTTTGTTTGTTTTTTCCGTAAATATTTTTTCTTCATACTGTCGGATCTATATCCTTATATTTGCTTACACACACACACACACACACACACACATATATATATATATATATATATATATATATATATATATATATATATATATATATATATATATATATAAGTTCTTGAAAATATATTTCAATTGAGCACTTAAGATAAGTTGATTCTATAAACAACAGCCACCTGTGCTAATGCAAAGCTCTTTAGTAAAATGATTTGGAGCCCTCTGACTGATTGCCGTTTTTTTTTTACATTCGTAAAAACAATACGTTAGAATTAGCTGTGTCTCCATTCTGAATGATGATAGCTCAGTGGTAGAAACTCACACCAAATCGGCTTGAAACCTTCGAGTGTCTGGTCGCACTGAGGAGCTGTGATACAGCGAAACACTACTGTGGGACGATGGATAAATTGTCGTCTGAAATGAAAATAGCATTGACATCTCATTTTAATATATATATATATATATATATATCTACGATAATTACGAAAAAGTAATCTTAAAATATTAAAGACTAAATTCATTCAGCAAAAATGCCGTTGACTTCAACCACGGTCTCCAGAAAACTTCGGGATCTACTGCAATTCTTACGGGCAGTCCCATTGTTTAATTTGATGAATGATGCATTGATCTTTGCCTTCAGTTCATCTTTGGTCTTACAATGAGTTTTTCTTGGTCTCTCGCACAACTGCAGATAGTAATGAAGGGGTGCAGTCTGGGGAGTTAGGTGGCCAGATGTAAGGGGTGATGTGGTCACAGAAATTGTCTGACAGCAATGACTAGGTTCTCCTGCTTGTATGACATGGTGCAGAGTCCTGTTGACAGATATAAGGCATTCCAACAGCCACACTCTTGACCTAAGGCAGCACTAACTCCTCTAGGGTACTTGATGTAAGCCTCCTTGTTGAGTCTGAGGCCCTCACTAACGAATTCATAAGTTCTTTTCTTACCACATAGATCAAAGTGAGTTTTCCGAGCTGCAAATATTTTATTACAGATCGAGTGTCTCTGTAAAGAAACAAAATGAATAAAAAGACAAGAAAAAAAACCATTCTATTCTTAGCCAACGCGTTTCGTCCTCTGAAAAACTTTATCACAGTAAATGTTGTATTATTTTGCTGCACGTCCTTATATACAAGAGCAAGGATGTCATTAGTTTATCAAGGCTTTTAAAATTGAGAACGTTCATGAATTTTCATAAGCTGATTGAAATGTCAGTCAAAGCATATGGAGGACACAAAGTGCTATAATTCAAAGTCTGCTAATACAAAGGTAAGCGAGTAATATTCAAGATTCCCATTCGATTTTTTAAAATAAATTAATATTTTTAAATTTAAAAAAATAAAACCTATATTTGTCTTAATAAAGTCCCTCAGAAGACGAAACGCATTGACCAAGAATAGTTTTGCCTCTTGTCTTTTTATTACACAAACACACACACATACATACATACATACATATATATATATATATATATATATATATATATATATATATATATATATATATATATATATATATAAAAGAAATAACAGTAAGATATATAATCCGGTGTTCTTATAGATATTTTTATTTTTACAAAATAGTGCTCAATGAAAATTTACAGAGCATTAATATTATAAATTAAGTTTTTTTTTACAATTTTTTTTTATCATTTAAATATTATTTAATATTTAAATAATGAAAAATATTGTAACCTAATAATTTACATACTTATATTTGATGTGAAATAATTCTACATACTGTATGGGATTCTAATTACATTTAATTGTTCTTAAAAGAATTATAGTATATTAAAAATTAAAAGTGAAAATATTTCAAATAATAGTTAAATAAAAAGTATTCTTACCTAAACACCCCCCAACATTGTTAGAACTGTGTAACGAATAAACCATATTTTAAATCAATTAATATATATATATATATATGTGTGTGTGTGTGTGTGTGTGTGTGTGTGTGTATATATATATATATATATATATATATATATATATAAATTAACTGATTTAAAATATGTTTTTTCGCTACACAGTTCTAACCATGTTTCAAAAATGAAAGCTAAAAGCTTCGAATTTAATTTTGTAACTAATTTAAAAACATTAGTTCCATTTCATCCTCAAGTGAATTTTAAATCAATTAATTTATAATATTGAGCACTATTTTGTAAAAATAAAAATATCTATAAGAACACCGGATTATATATCTTAATGTTCTTTCTTCTTATTTATATATACATGTACTTGCATGCTCATGTGTGTATGTTTTCTCATCTGAACATTCCAGAAAATATAGTCTATTTATGAAACTCACACGTTTAATCAACACCCCCGAATGTGAATTACTACCTTCGATTTATTTCATTGGACAAGGTTTACAACAGAGTTTACTTCCACTATCACTTTCCCATCTCCATAGCAACGTCTTTGCCGATCGTCTAGCAATTGCAATCAAGTGAAATGACCTTTCATGAACCTGTTCTCGCTGAATGTCTCATTGATTGATGCCCACTTGAAACTGACCATCAGTCACCGACAAATACGAATCGATGGAATGTAAATGAGTGTCCAAGACGAAGGTTTTAGGCCGCTACAGTCGTACACCACCCAGCTCGTATGAATAGAAAAGGCCTCAGGTGTAATCGTATAAGGTTTCAGAAAGGTGGAAATCTGAATGACACACTGTCGATTCAATTTGGAGAGATGATTACCGGCTCTTTCCTGTGCCCCCTTGACTGGCACGTCGGTCAGGCATAGCAAGAGAGTCCGGCAACCCGACTGTTTGTTTAAGCTAATTATGGCAATCAAAAAAAAAAAAATATCCGCCAGTTTCTGTGACTGTCTTGATTGCTTTGGGATTCTGTCTGCTAAAATCTTTCTACGGCTTTAAATTGGAAATTCTCAGGGGTCTACAGCACTAGTTATTTTATGATACCAATGTTTAATTTTGAAGGACCAATTAAATTTTAATTTTAAAATCCGTGATTTCTTTCAACTATTACACACGTCATTTGCTTACTCAAAGTAAATCAAAGAAATATGATACCACAGAGGCGGCAGCAACAGGATTATCATCATCATCAGTACCATCATCGTGTGGTTGTAATGTTATCCTGAAAAAGACAACGCTCTCCAGCGATTATAAAACTGTCCCTTTTAGGACAAGGCTCTCCAATGAATACAAAACTGTCCTTTTCAGAGCAATACCCCCCATCGACCATAAAACTATCCTTTTCAGGACAACGAACTTCAGAGACATCAAAACTATCCTTTTCAGGACAACGTTCACCAGCGAATACAAAATTGTCCATTTCAGGACAACGCTCGCCAGCGAATACAAAACTGTCCTTTTCAGGACAACGCTCGCCAGCGAATACAAAACTCTCCTTTTCAGGACAACGCTCGCCAGGGAATAACAAACTGTCCTTTTCAGGACAACGCTCGCCGGCGAATACAAAACTGTCCTTTTCAGGACAACGCTCGCCAGGGAATACAAAACTGTCCTTTTCAGGACAACGCTCGCCAGGGAATACAAAACTCTCCTTTTCGGGACAACGCTCACCAGCGAATACAAAACTGTCCTTTTCAGGACAACGCTCACCAGCGAATACAAAACTGTCCTTTTCAGGACAACGCTCTTCTCACCTCTACATTATCATACAGAGACATTTTTGCCCAGTGCAATGTAACCTTTTTTTTATTGATGTATTTTCTTTAACGAAAATGAACCTGGCAATATATTTTGACATAAGTCTTCGTTTTGTATGGCCTTGCCTTCCGTCATTCAATATCTGTTTGCGGACCAATATGCCACCTGCAACAAGGTCATTGCGCAGCTGAGCATCTGACCAAATACCTTCACATATCCGGGTTTGAAAGCCAACAATTCATTCATGCGTCGCGTGTCTAGAGCAAGTAGACCTAGTAGCGCCCATTTCTCCCCAGATCAAACCACAGCCGATATCCTCCAACTTGAAGTCTTGTCTTGGTCACGATCACGACTGTTAATTCCATCGAGTGAAACCACCCCACTAGCCGTTGACTTCAGTCTAGGAAGTCCACTGCCCAGCAATATCATGTTATCACCGAACTAGCTGCATACATAGTTTATGGAGTCCAGTCTACACCATATTGCTAGATGGCTGTTTGTCCTACATGAAGTTACATCCGTCATTTGATAGGTCCTGTTTTTAATGCTTCTGTGTGTCTAGTCTCCTTACTCATCAGAAAAAAAATGTTAGGGGAGTAGGTTTTGTTGTCGATGACATTACTATGCGGCAAGTGTCCGGGTTATAATGACGTGGCAAAAATTAAGGATAGTTTGGGAGAAAATATAAAACGTTGATAATTGACCATTCGCAGTTTTACATTTTTTTAAAGCTTAACAGAATCTTCATTTTCTTCTTACTAACAGGGAATAATTTGGAAGTCATCCAACCAATTTTGCATCTGATTTTCATCAGTGACACAAGAATAGCAGTTAAAGACATCAGAATAAAAAAAAGCAATGCATGTAGAGGTCATCATTACGATAGATATCTTCTTTGGTCACACACATGCATAGAATCAGGAGGTAATCGATTTGGTTTTATCGTTTATTGATCGTGGCAGTGATATTGATCTCAAATAATTCAAATGGTGGCAAAATAAAATAAAAATCGTTTCGAAATTGGTGTTACCTAAAAATGCTAATAAAACATATTGTTTCTATTTTAAGTTTTACGCTACACTTTATTTCTCTACATTGTAGACAAACATTCAACTAGATAGATCGATAGACAGACACACAGATATCTAGAAGTGAAGAGATAGATGTGGCTCACAGAAATTGATATATTGAATATTATCCAAATATTAATCTATGCCTAGGCTTTTTCCCCAATATCACCTTTCCTAACATAATTATTACTCTTTCAAGCAAACGTACACAACAATATCAAGAAATTAAAAGAAAATTGCTGAATCCGTAAACACAACAATAAAAACAATATTTCCACACGTGATAGTACGTGACATAATTTTCAGTTAGCAATATGAATACAAGGACATTTTGTTTTGTTGTTAATGGTTATTTTGTTTTTAATAAATTCTTTTCGTTTTAGCCTTGAAAAGTCCACATTGGACGAAACACGTCGGCTAATAATACCAATTGTATTTCTATTTCCTATTGCCTTTTACCTTTATACATACATAGATAGATAGATAGATAGATAGATAGATAGGAAGGAAAGAACAGACGGAGATAGACAACTGTTTAGATAGATATGAACAGACTGAAATAGACATATGGACAGACAGATCGATGGCTAGACAGACACACAGATATCTGGGAGCGCAGAGATAAATAGATAGATGTGACTGAAAGAGATAGATAGATAGATAGATAGATAGATAGATAGATAGATAGATAGATAGATAGATAGAAGGAAGGAAGGAAAGAAAGAAACGGTAATAGATAGATAGATAGATAGATAGATAGATAGATAGATAGATAGGTAGGAAGGAAGGAAGGAAGGAAGGAAGAAAGAAACGGTAATAGATAGATAGATAGATAGATAGATAGATAGATAGATAGATAGATAGATAGGAAGGAAGAAAGAAACGGTAATAGATAGAGAGATAGATAGATAGGAAGGAAGAAAGAAACGGTAATAGATAGATAGATAGATAGGAAGGAAGAGACGGGTATAGACAGATATATTGATAGAAACAGACTGAGATAGACAAATAGAAAGACAGACCGATGTCTAGACTGACATACAGATATTGAAGAGAAACGAAAGTAAGCTAAAATTTTAAATATATATCACTTGTTAGTGGATATACGTGTTAGTATCATCATCTCTGTTTTTAATAAGTGAAATCTTCTTTAAAATTATTTTTAAGATTTTTTTTTTTTCTGACGTCGTTCATTCTGTCTGACTCCACGGTCAATCTGATAGCAGTAAGCTAAAGTAAAACAGGCTGAATGTTCGATTCCTGCCGGCGGCAGATTTTTACTTTAGTAGGACTTCTCAGCTTAGGTTGGTTATTATTAATTTCACTGTTTAATAAAATAAAATAAATAAAACGGGGGGAGGGTAACAACTCAAACACGTGGAACCACTAAAATAACGTTTATAGTAATGAGAAATAGTGTCGGATAAATTTTTTTTTTTAAAATAAATATATATTTATGTATCTCTCTCTCTCTTATATATTTATATATATATATATTTTTTTGTTCCTTTGATTAAAACTCATAAATTTAAATTTGAACAGGAGAATAACTCCTATCCAAAAGGAAAGCCAGAAGATGGAAGTCATATGAGCAAGATCAAAATGAAACAATATGGACGTCAAAATGAAACAATATGGACGTCAAAATGAAACAATATGGACGTCAAAATGAAACAATATGGACGTCAAATTGGGCAAGAAATCACCAATCAGTGACTAGTGTCTTACAATATATATTTGTTGTGACAATTCAACTTTCTTATCACTATTGAATTCTGTTCATCAGTTTATTCAATCAGGTGTTGCTTCAAATATATATCAATGGGGTCAGATCAAACTGTTTTTGCACCTGACCAGTGAAATTTTTTCCCTTTCATTAAAATTAAATTTAAATTTGAACAAGGGAATGGCATCTATCCAATATATAGAACGAGAAAGCCAGAAGATGGAGGCCTGATCGTCAAGATCATTGAGTAATATTGAAATGCATCATTTTTCTGCACAAATTATAACAATGGTTTAAAATCAATGATTATTAAAATATATTCACTTTTTACTTCTTTTTTTTCTTTTCTTTTTTTTTTAATATTATCAGATCCATGCATTTAATTTCATTTAATATTTAATTTAAACCGTTAATCAGTTTCTGTAAGTCAATAAACATTAATATTTCTTTATTTTGACCATTAATTTTATTTGCAAGTCAATAGACACTATATTTATTGTCATTTAAGCAGTGACTACATTTTTGTGGACACCTTCTATAGTAGTGCTTAAATGCGTGGTATATATATATATATATATATATATATATATATATATATGAGTGGTGTTGCAAAGTTATAGCCAAATGACATCATTTATTTGTCGGCTAGAGACATTTGAGGCAAAACGAAAAACTTTCAAAATACCCACGTATCTTTCCTTTAAAGTATTTTAGTCAAAAGAAATTCCATGCAGCAGTGCAGAGGTACTTATCCTCATAACGGAGTAGACAGCTGGCATATATATATATATATATATATATATATATATATATATATATATATATATATATATATATATTATGCAATACATTAGAACATGCACATACCAACTACAAATTTTTTACATCTTGTTTCAACATTGATAAATCTTTTTAACGTTTATCAGGTGGAATGCTACGTGAATCTCCACCTAATGAAACGTTAAAAAAAATTTTTAATATTGAAACAAGATGTCCAATTTTGTAGTGGCTATGTGCTTGTTCTAATGTAACACTGCATAATAAATACATATTTACGGCTCTACTTTTGTATTGACGCTAATTTTAAATTAATGTTTTGAACGCTGAAATCTTACTCTTCGTTCTTTTACATTTGTACATACATATATATCATACTTATTATAAAACCCAGGTTGTGTGTGTGTGTGTATGTGTGTCTGTACGTTTATATATTGGATCGGATTTCCTACATTTTTCAACCGATTTCAACAAAACTTCACAGGACTACGTAAAATTACCTTGCGGTGGTTCTGACAGCGCCAAAAATTGGAAAAACACATTTGTTTTTGCATGAAATCAATTTGAAAACACGATTAAGAGGCATCGCTTATGCGGAATGAAAGGGGGACAACTCATATCGAGTTATACTTATTATAAAACCCAGGTTGTGAGTGTGTGTGTGTGTGTGTGTGTGTGTGTGTGTGTGTGTGTGTGTGTGTGTGTTCGTTTATATATGGGATCGGATTTCCTACATTTTTCAACAGATTACAACAAAACTTCACTTTTTTTGGCAGATAGTGTTTCTTATTGTCTTGCACACTTTTTTTCTTTATTTTTACATTCAGAATGCTTTAAAAATTCCATTTACAAGACAATTGTTTATAATAAAATTCTATTCAATCGATAGACTCATAACGATGGAAAACAATGTTTTTGTTTGAGCTTCGTAAAAAAAACTAATTAAGACATGCGCGTCTGTCAACCTTAAACAATAATCTTTGTCAATTTTATTTTTCAGTCTTTATGATGGTCGATACTTGATCTATCTCTTTGTTACATCCCCGGCAACGCCGGGCTCTACTGTTAGTATATATATATATATATATATATATATATATATATATATATATATATATATATATATATATATATATGTGTGAGAGAGGTGCAAAAGAGACAAGGAAATAGAAACTGAAGGATAGACTGATTGGTTTCCATCAAGATATTCAATTATAGAAACACCCTTTTATTATTAAGGTTTAAGTAAGTAAAGTAGATATATGAACACCAAATACTCGTTTACTAATTGCATTCTGTGTAATTATGGCGGTACACCAATGATGAATTATTTTCAAGATTCCTCTAAATAAAAAATAGCTCAGAGTTAAGTGGACTTTTCTAATAAGCCAATTAGCGTGAATATCCAATGTCTGCAAATACCTGGGTAATGCCATTGGTTCTTAAATATAGACAGGGGCGAGACTTTTTAGTGCTGCTAGGGTCTTACATTCTTCTGTGAAGATGAGGCAATGTTGAGCGGCTCTTTCATCAGTTGTTGCATTAATGATTTTGGTGAACTTTCAATGTGCGGAGCTTTTGATGATTTTTCACGCCTGCCTGACCTCGACAGAAACGACTACATTCATAACATGTTATATCACATTCAGCGTCAATACAGACATAGATGTACACACACACATACATACATACATACATACATACATACACACACTCACATGTTTGTATATGTATATGTATGTTATATATATATATATATATATATATATATATATATATATATATATAAAACAAATGTTTAGAGGTACAAATTTATATATAGTTTTAAAAACAAGGAATGTATTGATTTTAATTTTAAAAGTCCCTAAGGCCCTTTCAACCAACATCTCATCAGGAGACAATCGTTGGATCAACGAAAAGAATATTAACGACAATGAAGAGCAAAAAAGGGGGGAAACACACTAAAATAACAAACAAGTGTATATACTTATAACGAGGGGAGGGGAAATAATCGTGTAAATAAATTAGCGAGGGACAGTTAAAATAAAATATCCCCCAACAGATTAAGATACTTTACAAATTCTTTCTGCCGGCAGAGAGAAGGTTTCCTTAATCCTATACAGACCGATTCCAAAATCTTCAAATGATTGTTGGAATCGGCTGTATGAATAATTTTAAACCACTCTTTTTTTAAACGACTTGGCGCAGGCTATATTCTCAACTAAATGTTGAGCAATAGCCGATTCCATATTCATGGGGGGAAGATAAAACACTTTATCTATCTTACCAAGTCGTATTTTGGAAGGTACATGCTGATTGATTCTAGTTTCCAAATGCAAGGTTGTACGCCCCACATAACCAGCAGCACACTTTTCGTTGATCCAACGATTGTCTCCTGATGAGATGTGGGTTGAAAGGGCCTTAGAGACTTATAAAATTAAAATCAATATATTCCTTTTTTTAAAACTATATGTATGTATGTATATATATATATATATATATATATATATAGAGAGAGAGAGAGAGAGAGAGAGAGATAGATAGATAGATAGATAGATAAACCTAGTGAGCCAGACAAACCTACCCAGGTTTCACTTAAGCAGATCGTCAGGGAAAGCTGACGATCCGTTTAGGTGAAACCTGGGTAGATTTGTCTGGCTCACTAGGTTTGACGAGGTCTGCTCTACGGTTGTATTGCGCTCTTTTTAGTTAGTTGTTTGTCGGGTTTTTTTCTTTGGGCTTCAAACCTGTATCTGTGCGATTGTTTTCGACAGACTTTCATGTTTCTAGCTCTTTCTTTCTTTAAAACCTTTTTTTTCCCTCGGGATTGATTTGATTATTGGCAAATCAAAAATTCGAGGGGTTTTCGAAACGAGTATATTTACCTATATATATATATATATATATATATATCGTTTCATCGGACTAGGTTTATAAATTTTCCAAAGTACGAAACGCGTCACATATTTTCCACTTTGTCATACATATATCCTTCAAAATTGTAATATATATGTATATATCGTTATCGCATACATACATAGATACCTATATACATGCATACATATATATATATATATATATAGATAGATAGATAGATAGATAGATAGATAGGGTTCGATAGGTAATTTTACATATTTTTTTTATTTTACGAATGTGCTTTGTTTGTATTTGATTTTGTCGACTGCACGGTATAGTAGGGAAAAACTCACACTGATCGTTCTGATAATAAAAGAACTCTCGAATTTGTGATCAGGGTTTCGGACTCAACAAGGAGACCTATATCAACTACCTTGACGAGCTAGTGATGCCCTAGGTCCAGACGGTGGCTGTTGGAATGCCTTATATCTGTCAGCAGGACTCTGCACCGTGCCACACAAGCAGGAGAACCCATGACTGTCAGACAATTTCTTCGGCCAAATCATCACTTACTAACTCCCCACACTGCAATCCCCTTGATTATTATGTGTGGAGCGCAGTTGAATGAGAGACCAACAAAACTCTTTGTAACACTAAAGATGAACTAAAGGCAATGATTATGTCAGCATTAAAGTTGATTCCGATTCGTCTGGAGGCCGTAGTTGGCGATTTTATTATCTTTAGTAAGTTGGTACAATTTTGGTATATATATCTGTTAAAATGAGATGTCAGTGTTATTTTCATTTTTGTGTAATTCAAACGAAAATTTATTCAT